GGTAAGGTAAGGTAAACGTTCTCCACACACACAAAGTGGTGGGGCAAGGGGGGGCGACCCTCGCATCTCCACGCCCGGGACACGGGCAGGAGCCCCACGGCATTCAAAGTGCAAGCAGCAAGCACCGGCCCGGTGCCGTGGGTGAGCAACCTGCACCCCACTCCCTCCCTCCCAGACACAACCCGCACACAACCCCCACAGCGTGGTCGTCTAGTGTTCAGAAACACCAAGCAGCGAGGCGAGGGTGAAGGGGTAAGGGGCTGTGTGGGGCAGAATCTTCATCCGGCTTATCTGTGACTACTCCATCTAGCCTGGGGGGTCGCAGGAGGGGGGGGCAGAAGGTAAGATATGGGTGAGGCCAGGGGTGGGGACCTAGAATAAGTCAAAGGACATGTTCTCGGCCCCGCCATCGCCGCCGTCGCTCTCGTCCGCCTCGGAGGCGGAGGTCGTCGGGCGGGGCGTCTCGCCCGTCGCGAACCTGCCGCCGAACACGGCGTCGGCCGGCGCCGAGGCGCCGGCAGCCGTGATCAGCTCGGCAACCTTTCGGTCCCTGCAGGCCGCATCAATTTTGCCTCGCCGGGACGGCTCGTAGAGCTCGCTAGCGAGCCAGTCCCGGGCAACCTTCGTCGCCACGGAGCCCATAGGGACCGTGGCGTACACCATGTCGCCGAACCCGCTGCCCCCCTCGGGAGGGAGCGAGTAGGCGACCTGAATCTTGGACCCGCTGGGGATGCGCGCCGCCTGCGCCGCAGCCTCCAGGCCCTCCATCACGAACATGGCGTTCTCGCGCAGCTGCGCGTACGGGTAGCCCGCACGCTCGGCCTCGCTCGCAGCCGCCGCCGCCGCAGCCTTCTCCGCCTTGTTCTTCTTCTGCCGGGCCTTTTTGGCCCTGCGAGCCGCGGCCCGAGCATCCTTCTGCTCCTCCGTCAGCTCCTCCTTCTTCCGCGGCGCGGTGCGCTCGATGAACGAGCGCTCCGCCGCCTGCACAGACTCGCGGTCGCCCGCGGCCTTCTCGTGCTTCAGGTCGACCTCGATGGTCGCGTAGCCAGGCCTTATCAGCCTGACCTGCGACGCACCTGCGAGCCTTGCGACCATCACCGAGTCCTGCAGTTGCGCGCGATCGTAGCTATTCCAGGGTCCGCTGCGCATCCCCGGCGGCACGACAGTGGCCGGCGCTTGCGCACCAGCCCCGTCCGCCACCGGGTCCGCGGCCGCGGTCCCTGTCATAGCTACGCGCGCCATGGAGAACGGCGGAAAGTTGTATATAGGCCAAGCTACATTGGCTATCAACACGTAAATAAAGGACGTAATGTAAATAAATAAATAAAACGGAATGCTCTGCAAATCGCTCGCGGCCGACTCGGTCTCGCTCGCACGACAAGGACTCCGCCTCGTCGAGCAGGGCCAGCCTGCAGCTGCACCCTGCACAGTGCGGCGTCACCAGGCGATCTCCGCCTTTGATATGTTGGCCAAAGTAAAAGCCGTAAAGCCGTACAGGTTTCGTCTTTCGATCCGGGCCACCGCAAATTTTGATCAGCAAATTTCGAGGGGCGGCTGCAAATTTTGAGGTAGATTTTGACTGTCAAAACGTGTCCGTCTTGGCACAGGATAGAGCATATAGCCCCTGCAGATAGATCTTTATGGTCGTTTAAAGTTTGCGCGCGGGGGGGGGGGGACAGCTTTACGACGGTTTTGGGGATCCTGCCGACGCGCTACAGTTGTAGCCCCACTGCACATAAGATGGACACCTCAACGGGAGGGCACTCGCAGCAGCCGGGGCCGACGCCTGCAGCCTTAGTCTTGGCCCGATCCGGCGGGATGCCACGGGTAGGCGCGTTGCGGACTCAGGGCCGGTGCTTTGACGCAGTATATTGTACTTCGAGGTAGTATGAACTCAGAACGGCCCCCCGAGAGCGCCTCTTCGACGCCCACGGGTCCCAGGGGGTCGGAGGGGTTGCGAGAGGGCCTTGGCTATTTTTGTTTGAATTCTGGAGGCCGTTCAAACATGTAACGTGCGTTCCACGTGCCCGTCCCCAGCAAGGACAACATGCTAGCCCAGCACGCAGCAGGCCGCTCCCACCGCGCCGCGGCCGCGGCGGAGGCAAGGCGGCAAAGGGTGGCAAGGACGGCGGCAAGGGCGGTGGCAAGGGTGGTGGCCGTGTGGCGCACCAGACCCACTTTGCGCCGCCGCCCTCAACGCCCGATACTCGGTTGAGCCGGCGGGGCGACGGCGGCAGAGTTGCCTGTTGCGCTTGCGCTTGCGGCCGCCGGCGACCTCACACGGCGTCGAGCGCCGTAGAGACTGCGCCTACCCTCACCTCGGGTAGACCGTTCACACCTCGCCCCGCGTAATATCCTGATTAGTTAATTGTTCCCGCTTGTTCGTACGTCCTTTCGTAACTTTATCATCGATCGGTCATACAGTATGGAGCAAGACGTAGACATCGCGCACTCGCAGCCCACCGCGCCACCGCGCCGTCGGGCGCCGCCCTCGGTCTCCGAGGGAGCTCAGCTACACCGTCTGGTCTTGCGCATGGTAGCGGCCTACGGTCCGATCCGGCCTCCTTTGAGTCGCCTCATCAGCGCAGTGCGCTCAACCACAGCTTTCTGCGCAGTATATGAGATGGTGCTCTCAGCACTAACCCGCTTCAACAGCCCGTCACACGTCGCTGCTCGAATTCGCGCGAGTGGCTCCCAGTTCGAGTTTGCCTCTTCGCGGAGCGAACGCGAGCAGCGATGCGATGCGATGCGATGCGATTCGATTCGATTTGATGCAGCATGCAACAATGCGCTAAATCTTTTGCCACAAGAACCCCAACGCGCCATCCACCACCCGCCAACGCGCTGGACTTGGCACCAACCGCCAACAGCGTGGCCTTGGCACCTCCTACCAACTCTCGAGCCCAACCCGACATGGATTTTGCCTAAACGGCGACACACCCCGGCCCCTAACCCCAGCCCCTAACCCCAGCCCCTAACCCCAGCCCCTGACCACCCCTAACCCCAGCCCCTAACCCCAGCAAACACTACCCCCCGCGGACGGCCCGTGGTTAACACGCCGAACCCTACCCCCCGCGAACGGCTCGTGAACCTCGCCGAACCCTACCCCCCGCGAACGGCTCGTGAACCTCGCCGAACCCTACCCCCCGCGAACGGCTCGTGGTCAACTCGCCGAACCCTTCTCACATGGCAATGGCGGCTCTGCGAGCTCGCGACTCGCCCGCCGCCATTGGGGGGGATGCGCCTACCCTCACCTCGGGTAGACCGTTCACACCTCGCCCCGCGTAATATCCTGATTAGTTAATTGTTCCCGCTTGTTCGTACGTCCTTTCGTAACTTTATCATCGATCGGTCATACAGTATGGAGCAAGACGTAGACATCGCGCACTCGCAGCCCACCGCGCCACCGCGCCGTCGGGCGCCGCCCTCGGTCTCCGAGGGAGCTCAGCTACACCGTCTGGTCTTGCGCAGAGACGGCCCCGAGAGCCGCCGCCAGGTGTGCCACGACCGCGGTCGCGAGGCTCGTGGCGATGGATGCGCCAGACCCGCAAAATACGAAAATGGGTGGACGGTGGAGGTACGAGTAAGCTATCGCTGAATTCCAGCCATATCTATCTCGTATCTCGTATCTGCGCTCACTCTGCGCTCCACCACTCGCGGTGGTTGGCCGCCTCTGGGGTGGACGTGACGGGGCCAACCTCCTCGGGCGGCACAAACTCGAGCTCGCCGGGCAAGAACAGCGTCTGGCCCCGGATCGCCGAGGGCATGTTGGCGCCCATGTGAGTGGCGAGGCCGCCGCGCCAGCGCGAGCAGATGAGCTGGGCGTGCTCCGGCAAGAGCGCCCGGATGGGATCGCGCCGGCGGAGCTCCGCCGCCGCGTCGTTGACCTTGGCCGCCCATGACTTGCCCGGGCCCTCGGTCCACGCGCGCGTGAAGCTCGCGTTCCACTGTCTGTTGGCGCCGCCGCCGTCAGGCGCTGCAATCACGCCGTCGTACACGATGGCGCCTTCAAACGGCAGCAGCGTCAGGTAGAGCAGCGACGCGGCGTAACCGTCCTCGGCCGTGCGGGTTAGGTTGGCGGGCCTGACCCGCACGCACTCGCCCGTCTGCTCGAGGATGACCGTGTAGCGGCCGGCAGATGCGTCGAAGGCCATCGCCAGCGCGAGCTCTCCATTGAGCTCGGGGCGCGCGCCGAGGCCGCCGATCTGCACGCGGCGGCGCAGCAGCGGCGGCGCGCCCGCGCCTCCCAGGCCCATCTGCTGCTCCAAAAGGAAGGGGATGGCGGACATGAGGCCCTTGGCCGCAAAGAGCAGGTCCTCGAAGGCGTCGTACAGGAGCGCGCCGTCGCCCGCAGCGCCGAGGTAGTAGTAGAACCCGCTGCGCCGCACCGTCGCCCAGGCCCGCGCGGGAGCCACGTCAGCCTCAGGCATGCCGGGATTGCACTCGAGCATCAGGTCCAAGAGCGGGCCCCAGTAGTACAGCGTCACCTGGTTGACCTTCCACCTCTCCACGAAGCCCAGCGCCCCGAGGGCTGTCATCTCCTCGTCCCCGCCCAGCGCGTCCATCACCTGTGACACTCCGTAGCACCGGCATCCCATCAGCCGCATGTTGCCCA